AAATCGGAAAACCATATCGTAAATCGTTAATTTGCAAAATATCAGTTCATCATATCGAACTGAACTGTTCCTGTTGCAAAACATCAATCCATTGTCATTATTTACGCGTTTCATACAAATTCCATTGTTTTCTAACTCTTCCTTTCTTGATCTTCCCGCATCTTCGGCTACCAGACATTACGTTGACGCTCACGTCATATACTACTTATAAGTAGCTCACACCACACTACTACTACTTCCAGGTTTCCTAGACTGAAGTTGATGGATAGGGTCTTAAATCTGAGACTCAGAGAAAGTCAAAAGCTATGGCCACCAATTCATATATATATATATATATATATATATATATATATATATATATATATATATATATATATTACAGGATATAGAATCGGATTTCTTCAACATTTTCTATTCTAAAAAACTGCTAATCGCTCATATGATTATTCTAAATATCTTTCTATTTACTCTATCAGATTCATGACCTGCAGATCATTTCATTTTGGTTGATTTACATCTTGGCATTTATAGAACATTGTTTTTAACATTCTAAATAGTGGTAAACAATGTCTTAAAGTACCGGTTAGATCTGAATACTAATTTTCATTTTTCTACAGTCTTTTAGTTAACTGATCAACATTGAAATACGATAGTTATTGAACTACTAACTCTTGATCAGAAATATTAACGTTTGTTATCTACTACAAAGAATATATTCACGTATTTACTGAACACTTTATGTAAATTAGTATACAGCGATTTCCCTGTTTTACAGAGTTTATGATAGATTTGTAATGATATCAAATAATATACCATAATCTGAAAGTTTGTTATCAATTTAGTTTAAAACTAGTGGTATTTTCATTTCGATAGATAGAAATACACATAATAACTAATCTAGGAAAGTAAGAACTAGGATATATCACATGTTATCAATAAATTTAAGTCTTCAACAAAATGGATAAGTTTTACAAAATTATTTATACAACTTGATTAAATCAACGTTAAACAAACTTAAAAAAGAGATTTCATTTACATGATACAAATGATTGATGTAAATTATAAATCCCGTTCAGTAAGCATTACGACTTATAGCTAGTTTGATTTATTTGTCAGAACGATGAAAGAAAACTATGAATAGATTGCATCGATAATTGATAAATATCTAATCTAATTTTTGTTTAAAATGCATGTAGATTACACAAAATAACAGAAGTAAAACTGTTATGATTACATGGCTCGTAAAAAAGCAATTAAATTTTGAATGTAATTATTCATTATTAGTTGGTAAACCATTTTGAAAGCAAAAATCAATGTTAATTTGTTTCTGTTTGATTCTGAAACTACGAGGTAATGTGTACTTTTAAATCCACTAGATATATATGATAGAACTTTAATTGCTCATTTGTGCTGGCTATTATTTTTTCAACGATTTTGCACCAAAATATCTGCAAGAAAAATTATCATTTTTGTTTATCAACTTACTTTAAGTGGGTCTGCTGAGTTTGCTTGCATATGCAGTAAGCATTGACATCTTTGTCCATTTAGTATGAAATCATTAACTTTTATCTGACACCTCAGTGAATTCAGAGGCTGAAATTTCAAAGTCTTCCCTAAATAACAGACTCTCTCGGGAACGATAGATAATAACGTACCAAGAGAATTTTTAGTGGCCCAATTTGATTGAACAGTCGAGTATACTATGAAAAGAAATCTTCCTTTCCATTTCTGTAAATCATACTTAGGCGAACTACGTTTGAGATGAAGGTAATGAGAAACCAAATACGGTTTCGTGGATGAATTTATTTCATGAACTCGTTAAACCAGACAGACATGAGAATGAAAAGCGTACAAGCAAAGTAACGCGAAGTGTATTGAGGCGACCCCATGTGGTGAGGTATGACTAAGCATTAACGGTCAGATAAAATAACCTCGAAGTGCAGTGAGTGAAGTAAGCGTGAACATACCCGAATCAACTAAGGTGATAAGCGAATGATTGGTAAGATCGGAATACGAGCGAGTAATGACTTGGGCAGGAAAGGTTAATTAGATTGTCCGATGAGTAAGTACATCAGCTTAAACGTAGAAGTTCGTATGTACGTATATAAATTTAAGTCGCCATACCACATTAGCACAGAGAGAACTAATTATCAATTCAATTCAAACCATAGTGCTAGAGGTAGTAGAAATATTGGCGTTATGAAAGATATTAGGGTTTTAAAAATTATTCAACAAGTAGAATCCAGTGAAATAAATTTAAGAAAAAGATAAGGTGGTACGGAAATCAGAGTAGAACTTGAAAGAAGAAAAGAATAGATGCATGCGCGATTGTAAGCGATTTTGAGCCAAGTCGTTCAAGGTCTCTAACTATCGGTTACGATTGTCTCGCTAACCACAAACAGGTAGTCTACACATACTAACACTTGTCGGTGACTTCATGGATTTGTGCCATGTTTTGGATTGGCAGCCACTAGCTTTCTCCAAACCTACCCCTACATCACAAAACATAGCTCACCGAGACAGTCGGTGGTTGGGCATTCGTATCACATGTCCCAACCACCTGAACTGATGGAGTTTCACTACTTCATCAGTTTATTTGCCATCCGTTTCGCAACATCAGCATTGCTTACTCGGTGGTCCCAGGATACACGAGGAATGCTTCGAAAACACCTATGGTCGAATACCAGTAAATTACGAATATCCTCTACTCATACTGGCTACATACCACACTTGTGGAACTCTAGTGGGTAGTCAAGGCATTATTAAATCTAATATTTTAGACACTATGTTGGTCAAACTGATTCCTTTTTCATTTTCTTATAGGTTGGGACAATTAGCAAGTGAGAGCCATCAGATCGGAATTCGTCCAGTTCCCAGATTATACATAAGATCTCAGTCAATCTAACTGCTAAGACTGAGCCACTATCCCAGAAAATCCGAGGTTAGCCTATAAGGGGCTGTTGTTCTCCCTTTCCTTAGATTGCATACAGCGTTCTCAACCTCGTTAAGAGTTGGAGGACTTACATCAACTTGCCATACAGGTTGGCAGATCGTGGGCAACCAAAGTATGGCTGAAAGCCAGATGAACTGCTCTCCAAAGTGTTCTACACATCGATCCAATCTCCTAGATTGAGAAATAGTTTTGCTAACAGTCGGAATCCTAATACGAGTCTGCTTGATAAGTCAGAATAACTGTCTACCCTTTACCTATCGCCGTTGCCTTTCCCATCTCTTTTGCTTTCGCTACCCATCACTACCTGCGTAGGTCTTTTATAAGCTTGCGCTGCCTCCACACCTCATGTTCGGAGCCAGGTGAGATGAGTTACAGAGCATCTACCAGTTCCGTAGATGCTACTGAAACCCACTGTTTCTCCCTAATCTTACGGTTAACCTTACTACCGAATATTACTGCTGTTCCCACAGATGTCAGAAAGAGGCGGTTATCAGAGCATAGTTGCATCAGACGGTCACCAATATCTGTTCTTTTAGTCGCGACACCATGAGATGTCCTACAGTCTCATTTGAGAATTTAAGTCAAAAGCCACTATTACTAGATCAGAGCACCTAACCTTTTGAAGGTTTGAAAGCTTTCTGTAAAATTCATCTTTTAGCTCATCCGGGCGGCAGTCAATGGTAACTACATTTAAAATATAATTTCCAACATAAAAATGAATAAAGCAAACGTCAACTGCTCCTGATGTATAATCTATGACCACCATAAGCCGTGAATATACCTGATTACTTAAATGAATAATCTTATAATTTTGTAGAAGTTAACTGTCACAAATATTTAGTTTTATAGTCTCAGTTTATCGAAACAACACACTTTACATCCTAATTTGATTTACAGAATTTTTTCTTCATATGTCGTATCCTTTTATCAGTAACTTTATTTATAAGTATGTTCAAGTTCATAATTTTACTACATCTATTTGAGTAACAGTTAAGATAGGTGCTTCACTTCATATCACTATTCAACTTAGTTGATATGCAATGGATAAGAGTTTGCTCTAAGAATTTCAGTGAATTTTACAAGTTTTAGTTCAAAACGAGCCATGGATATAATCTCCTAATAGAATACAGATAATATAAAGTAAATTCAAGCACAATGCCACCTAACTAAATTTGTTAATATAACCGTGCATCCACCAACAGACTGAATCTTATCAGAATTATCTTAAACGTAAATTTAGCACAATCCTAGTGCAAACAAATATTACCTTGATAAGACGAAGCGATAAATAGGTCCGCTATATTTCACAACTAAGAAAACCAGTGATATAGTAATAACCACATGGAACCAATCAATGGTGGATCTCTGAGTACCACGAATCACATGCCTCATAAACCTTCTTGCTTACTGAGAATTCTCAGAACACATACTTGGCATTTTATAACTATCGCATGAACCAACACATCTGGGCCTGATGATATTCTTAAAATCAAGTAAGACTTCATGGTCTGATGTGAAATACCTATCTGACGGAAGAACGTTAATTTTAATTAGCGATGTTGGACATGAGTGAACGAGCGTACTATGTATCTAATAATCTATGTTAATATAGCCTTATAACCGTGTCAGCTAATTCATTATTTCTGCCTCTTATTATACGTTTAAACACAGTTATACTGCTATAACAAACTGGTACAGTTAGCAGTAAGAATAAATACTGGAGCATTTACTGATTTTGGCGATATCACTCAACTTTAGCTATTGGTAAACTCAAGCAATCTTTCAAAGTAAACTATAATTTCCTGGCTTATGTTCGGTTTATAACTCACCAGTAGCTAAGTTGTTCTGTGGTGGTTGTCGAAGTATGCAGACAAAATCACTAGTGACGGATAAACTTACCTCTTAATTCTAAAGTTGCTAACCGAACGAACTGACGAGATACTAGGGGCCAACTTCTGCTTACTTTAACACCTGTAAGACTAGGTGAAACAAAGAATTCTTCGTTCAAGATACCAATATTGAATGTCTAAAATAGTAGTGAAGGACTAGCCCAGAATACCAGTTTACTTCAATTACGAAAAATGTTTGACTTAACTTCCGTTTACTGAGACAAATTTGTTTTTGTGGACAAGCACGCATTCGAGAAATAGTTTTTTTTTCATTTTCAAACTTTAGTAACAACAAAACATGAGACTGTTTGAAAGAAATGCATCAATTGTGGTCATTCAGAAAAATAAGGCAAAATGAGAATAAACTAAGCACATCTGCAGTGCAATTTCGGAAAACCAAAGAGGATCTGTTGCTGGGTTTTCAATATAAAGAAAAATATTCACAGAAAAGTATTGATAAAATTAAGTAATAATGTAAACAAGTATATCGCAATCTTCTGAAGAAAATTAGACTATGTACAGTTCTCACTTTGCCTTATTTTGGGTACTGAGCATAGGGATTTTTGTTGCAAGTGATAGATGACGCCAGTGATGGGCTTGGACTTTGAAACGACAACAAATTTTTATAGTTTTGTTTTGAACAGGATAAAGACTCATGAGAATTATTTACATTCGACGATTCATTACCACTGAGGTAAAACTGCTTCATGTTCGTATCAAGTAGGCGATGATTAGCATCTGGAGAAAATAATTAATGTTAAAAATATACATAAAATATTAATTCAAATCTAGATAATAAACGAACGAAAATTAAGCGGAGTAAACCGAAAGATAATTTTGCTATAACACAGGATAACTCATCTAGATTAGTTGAATACAATGTGTTAACGATCAGATGAAGGTAATAATACGTATCGTTGTAGTGTTTACGCAGTTTCTAGTTCGAAGATGAAATAGTATTGCAAACAACAGGGGTATTGGTAGTAGCTATTCGTCACAAAAAATCAGCATATTTCAAGATTCTTTTTACACAGCGAGATGTTTAGAAAGTTTAGTAACAAATAACACCATGAAATTCCGATACCAACATTAAAATCTAGAAGCGTTTAGAACTACAATCACAAATAAACACCAAAACGTCACGTTCTCCGAGGCAGTTGTGAATCAGATCTTGGGTTTAAATCATAATAATTATGTGACTTTTTCACATTAAGAGCCCTATTTGAGAATTTAAGGTTGAGATAAACTTTTTCCAATTCTTACTGAAGTTGGAAACACCACAGATAATCTCAATCAGCCAGTCATAACGTAGAACTTCGTACGTATGTATATCAGTTCAGGTCGCCGTACCGAATTAGCACAAAGACACAATTGTCACTTCAAATACAACAGTGGTAGCGATAGTAGAAGTATTACCAGCAATGGAGAAGATTAGGGTTTGAAGATATGATTCGAGAAGTATTATTCAGTGAGATCTGTTTGGAAAGAAAGAGATGATGAATTCAGGTTAGAATTTGAGAGAACACAATGAATGAATGCACCTGAGCCATTGCAAGCAATTTTGAACCATGTCGTTCAAGGTCCCTAACCATTGGTGACTTTCATCTCGCGGACCTCAACCAGATAGTCTATATCTGCCGACATGACTCAGTGTTAACGATTATCTGTTTTGGAAGTCTTACCAACTGTTTGGTTGATGTCTGACGAGATCTCGACACGGACTCAGAAAGCACGTTCGGCTTTTGTGAACCTGAGTCACGATATAGGTGAAGTGATCTTCTGAAAAACAAAGATGTTTCACAGCAGACTGTCTTAACCTCACAGCTGTGAGACTTAGCTTTAAAAAAAATAATATTCAGTTTTCATTATTTGACTATAGGTATCTTAGGAGCAGTGTTGAGACTACAGAGTGAATAGGGCGAAGGTTAGACACAGAATACTGCGAAAAGTTGATAAACTGATTATTCGCCGTGTTAGATAGGAAATGTATTATCTAAGCCCAACCACTGCCTACTACCGACATGCCTGTAGGTACAAACCATCAAGCTAAGGTTAACGTTATTGTTATAATCAATGGCCGGAGACAGGTGGTAAGGCTTAGAATCAGAAGCAATGACACAAACCCACTTACTATCCTTTTCGTAGATCTTGAATTACTAAATTACCTTATAATTTTTTATAACGGGGGTTTAGTCGTCTATTAAATCACATTTTTACTTTAAATTCCCTCAACTAGTGCTAATACTACTACTTTGATATTCTGATAGTTTCATCGTGTAGAACAGATGACTTGTGTTGATGAATGTGTCCAGCTTTTCTTTGTTTGACTGATTAAACCAAATTGTTGATCACACCTAGTTTTCTGAGTCCAACCTTAGCGGTCAGCATATATATTAACAATGACTTGGAATACGTCCATGATTAGATTCTAACGACCTAATACTGTGATCTGCAGTTTGCGTTTAAAGAGAAATGCATATCGAGTAACTGTGAATTCCAATGGTCTTTACACAGCATGACTTATTTGTGTATTAAAGCTGGTAAGCGAGCCTCATGATAGATTAATTTTGGGAAGGTGGTGTTTATCGCAAAAAATGCTTATGACGAAGTAATACATTTCGGAGATGATTGTTAATTAATGAGTTTACCTCTGAGAAAAACCACATGAGAAACAGCTTAATATAATCATATTAATTTTCGGGAAGTAGTATGGCTTTGATCATGCGTAGGCATTATGATTTTAGTTTAATGCTTTGAGAAATCTGTTACAACTAAGTGAGATTAACAAAACCCAATTAAATCAAGGTAGCAATGTCAGTTCGAGTTGCACAAATTCACAATAGGAAGCAACTGTGTTACATGAATTCGAAATGCATAAACGGCTGAGTAAGATAAACCTAATTAGAATTTTATCCACTAATATGATGTTAAAGAAACCAACATAACAAAACGAGGCGGTTGTACTTCCTACTGTATTCACTTAAGTTGCGTCATATATAAAACGATAAATGGTCTTGGATACGACAAAGGATAACAACTAAATGCACACAGAATACGAGTTACTTACATTGCTGGACTGGCGAATTGAATGTAGAGTTCGGTGCTTGCTCATTTGGGTTGTAATTGGAAAAAATATTTTGTTGAGCTTTAACTATTGGTCTTCTAGGCGGTCCTGAGTCAGTGTTAACAGGCTGAAATCTAGACGCATCAGGACACAAAACTAAACTTAGGTTTGCGAAATTCATCATTACCTAGGGGACGCAGCTGTGGCCTTGGATGACTAGCAACATCTTTTGTACCATTCCAAAGTTGGCGAAAGTAACCTAAAAGGTGATTTTACGGAAATAAATATACCATTTGAAGGCAGATCACCATCACAGGCCAAATCAAGCGGGATACCTGGGGTTTGTAATTGATTAGTAGATGGACCCGATAACACGGCGTTATCCTACAAGAGGGAAAAGCGGATTAGGTGGGAGAATGCACTTGTTATACCAAGTTAAAACCATTACATAGAGTTATCGATAGTTTTGAAATAAGAATATGGCAAATATTTGGTGGGAATATTTTGGTTAGCAATCACATACCATAATATTTGAAACCAGTCCAAAAGGCAAGTGTGAGTTCTGCGGATTCGTAGATTGAGGGTAAACGGATTTTTGCTGTTTTTTGATCATTAGTGATTGCAAAATAGGTACCAGATTGCAAGTCGTTTCCGAGTGAGGAATTTGATTGCAGTTTTTTGATGAGCCAATAGGTATACCATGAGAATTAGTGACTTGACCATTAATGAGATCCGAATAATGATTAGGAGGATCAACAATCAAATCAACTGACTCGTTAATTTCGATTGAATCTCCCTGAGACAATTTAAGTTGGGCTTCAATTTCTTCAACAGTCAGAACTTTTGGTTTCGATTCTAAGTGATGATTTTATCTCAACCTGATAGCGCTTACCGACGAAATCACTTTGAACAGGTTCGACATTTGCTGGGTTAGCAGCACCATGTCCAAGTAGAATTGTACGAAGTTTATTTTCGACCTGAAGAGCTGAAAAGAAATATTAAGGTCACAGGTACCATACCAGTATTCTTCTCAGAAGTGAGACGAGTAGAAGGACTGCCACAGGAACCTTTTAGCAATCTAAGTAGCTGTTCGTTAATATTATCTAAAGAAGCAGATTTATTAGAGTAAGTATTGTTTGGAAGCCTGTTTTCATCTGATATCTCATTCTTTTGAAACAGATGTTTAAAACGACTTCCTTGATTATCGGATACCAATTGATCGACTATGTTGGTTGTGGGTTTGTTTGACTGTTCGAGGAATGCATGACTCCCAACTTCCAAAGTCTTGTTATCAAAGACATTTTCAAGACAATTGTTTGTACTTGGAACTAAACTATCATTAACTTGCGAAAAATCATTTTCCATTTCTAAGCACTTTCTTGGTAAATCGCATTCCACTGTTTCCTCTAAAATCCCTCCGAGTTCAATTGTTTCATTAACTGTAGTAGGACCTTCTGCAAACCACTCAGGTTCATCGTCACTGTATGAACAAGAAACTCGACGGTCATGACTGTGACGTTCCTCTCTATTGTGGTTTTTGATGAACGGTACGCCGTCAGCATGTCTCCCCGAACCACGACCCCGAGCTGAGGAACGAATATCATTGGATCGATACTCTCTTTTGTACTCATTAGTTGCTTTACAATGCTGCTTGTCGTAAGATCGGTTTTCTGAATTGTATTTAGGCCAACGAGTAAAATTGTTTGTATCTGACACTTCACGGCCCTGAGGCTGTTGAGAGACGTGACAACCCGTGTTCCATGTACGTTTTTGAGGGCCAAGAACGATGCTGGAAGCATCTCGAGTTTTCTCTGCATAAACATTTTATTAATGAAACGAGTTAACCTACCGCTTCCCTGAGTTTTGGAGAATGAATTGGGTCTAGCTCTTACGCGAGTCGAACGCATAACGGAAGCATTTAATCGAGAAAACTCATCCGAAAACCCAATTAGAGAGGCTGGATTTTTCCTAACAGCCAGAATCTCTTCCTAATAGTGTCGAATATTAGTATATTAAGTAAACTTACTCGAGTGTAACGAACTCGAGAGCTTTTAGACTCACATTCGTCCATTAGGAAATATGGAGAGGATTGACGGTTTTACAAGTAACCGAAAAACAGCCAAAAACAACCCAAATACCTGCTACAACTCAAGCACTGGCCAGGGATACATCCGATCCAAAACTACAAACACACCGCCTCACCAACGGAAAAGTGCCGTTACAATACAATTTCAATCATGAAAATTTTATTACATCTTGTCAACATAAGCCTATCATGAAACTTTCACTCTTCTTAAACCTGTGTCTGGGTAAATTAAAGCCTACTTTTTCGGTTAAAAATTCTTAGGAGTAAGTTCAACAATTAGTGCGGAGCAAACTGGTGCTTAAGTCAGCTGTGGCCTTTTATGCTTCCTACTTATTCCATAACGTTGTGTTTTGGTTTACCGGCATTCAGAGTAGCCGAAATACTAGGGTATTAAGGATAGGTGATCCACGCTGGGTATCAACCCCAAGGTATAACTTCTACATGAGCCGGATCACGCTGTTCCTATGTAAACGGAGGAGACTCTAATCATCGATACAGATAACCTATACTGGTGATACATTTCAGTTTACTGAGGGGGACTTACTTCATATCCCCATCCAATATCTTTTTGACTAGCCATTTTCAAGAAGTTTTCTTTCCGCACACATACTGTTATAGAGATGCAGTTCTAGGTCCTCGGAGGCATTTAATGTTAGTAGTTTATTCACAGGATCTCATTGCTTTTAGTGATGCCGGTTAGTTACATATGAAGATGCCAAGAATATCTGGGATTTTGCCAAACTTTTGTCCATGACGTCTATCTGACCGGAAGAAGCAAAACTCTGTAAAACCAAAAGTAGAGGCAAATTTAGTACATGATTGATCTGTCGAGAAGCTTACAATATACGCTGGATAGTTGTTGTGAAGGAATGCATATCACGGCATGCGTAGCGGTGATCTAGTGTAAATTCGTGACCGACAGTCTTCAGGATAGGTGTACGTAGTGAAACTAATGAGATCAGTATCAGTGACGAAGACCTAAAACCGTTTATGCCAAGAATTTATGTACAGCTACACTCCATGATACTCCAAATTTCTGGCTATTTCTTTCAACTACGTATATTTGTTAGTCAGTGCTAGGTGTTTTTAATCCTTAGCGATCCTTCCAAGTCAAGGTTGGACTCTTATTTCAAATCTCCTCAAGTTTACATGACTATATTTTTCGCTCTGATGGATATCAGAGTATGATGTAATATAGTTATCGATGTTCCCTCAGACCTTGGCGCTCAGCGATTTGCAGGGGAATGTCTTGGTATTACAGGTAGTCACACATGAGTAACTGTAAATTATGAAGTACGAAATCTCCTGGCGGTACTAGACACCATCTTCAGGCACTACGATATTTTAAGTATAAGCATGTTTTTCTTCTTTGCCCACCGACCACAAAAACTTGATTTTGATGATGAAGACACTAGTCCACAAAACATTAGCTGAAAACCGTCTCTAGTATCAGGATGCTGTAATAACTGGTTGAAGAAAATGGGCATTGTGCATATGGAACAAACACTTCCAGATGCTGATTTAGAGGTGTGATGTACTCTAATCACTATCCAAAAACAAATTAGAATCTGTTTTTTGTACACATCGACCATGAGTTTCCTTGAAGTGATCGTAGAGTTCAAATAGATATATTTACAATCTGATAACATTGATTTCAAATCTAAAAGTGCCTAAGAAGAAAATAAAACCTGATATCATGTAAGCTCAACCAAAATATCACAGCTTGCTCAAAAGTGGATTCATGCTGCAGCTGTGTGGCCCCAAATGTTGAACGTGTTATGTGAATGTTAATAAGACACAAAATACTTGTAAAACGTATGGATCTGTGCAGACTGAACAACTGCTATGGAAACACAGCGGTTTGAATACGGTCGAAATAGTTCCTGACTCGGTAGAGAAAACTGGTTTGTCATCACAAACATACGTCCTGACTGTAAACAGTAAAGATCTAGGTAGTAGCAACCCCAAACTAACGATGGTTCAGCCTTTCACATCCTTCTCAAAATCAAAACATATAATGCCAATCTATTCTTTACAGTTAATGAAGCTATTTTAGACAAAACCCTCACAGTTCTCAAAAGACTTTGGTTGGTTGGATGAGTTAACTTGAATTATAGTGCTCAAGACACAACCATCAGCTGGATGTTCTGATAACTGTACGCTTCTGCTAAGATGATTTTGTTCTATCGCTTTGTGGAACAGTGGTGAAGTCTCGTTGTAACTGTTTCACAGTAGTGTAGTGGTATACTTTTACGAAGAAAACATAATTGCTTAAATATAAACATTTATTATTGCACGTAATTCTGACAATAATTGTTATATTTTACACCTCTTGTTTATCTGTACTAAAGACTATCTCTCCTGCGCCAAGCGTGTTATTACCACTCTCCTCTTCGTACGTCTCCTGCGTGGACGTTAACCGTTTGTACGCCTTTTGGCTTCAATATTATTTCGATATCACGAGGCTAGCCCCGAATATATTTCTTGCTCTAGGATCGCCTTTTTATTTGATTCTTAGAGTGTCGGGATTAACGTTTGTTATCCAGCGAAGTAGTATATGATACGATCCGCCATAGTAGTATCTATGATGTGGTTAGGTAGTGTGATAGGATGGTCGAGTGATAAGGGATTAGTTGCCAATAAAACCTCTGAGTGCTGATCATTGGTGACATTATTGTTGGTTCTATTACTCTCTGCGATACAGAATCTTTATTCAGATTCTACAGACCCAATGAATCCTTTACTATCATTCGAAAAGCACAAAGGTGTGTGCGATATAGTCTGAGCAAGTCAGAGTAAAGAGTAGAAACCATTGCTTCTGTTCGTTGTATTCTGTTTACACATGAAATGGACACCTTCAAATGTTGATAAAGTCGACTTATCTAACTAACACCCCATGGATGGTAGACAGCCGAAAGAATTCACACTTCACTCACAGGCATATTTTGAGAGTAGGATAACGGAAAATCGAATCGAAGTCTACTATATATTGTGATGATTGATGTTATGTTTCATAATCTGTTGTGGGTTGAGTCGAGGTTGACTGTGAACACTACTATAAGCTAGTTACGTTCTAGTCTTGACTCATTCACCAGTCGTAATCCGAAAACAGGGAAAAAGAGATAATCCAGATGAAGAAGTATAGTCACTGGCGATTTCGTGGTCTCGAAAGGATACAGAAACTGTGTCGGAGAAAATAGGTGAAGTCACAGAGCGCGAAAAGCAAGATGGCAGCAAAGCAAGCAGAAAGTGAGAGTACAGAAGTACGAGTAAACAAGAAGTTAAGTAAAACAATCACTGATTCAATCGGTTATAATAATGAATGTTTCTATCCAGTCAATCGCGTTTCTTTCGTAAAAGCGGAGTCACTTTAATTCATTGGTATTCTTCTTTAGTTAACGCTTTCTTCACTATTCTGAATACTGATGCCTGTTTCCGAGCCATTGACAACTAGGTAGTATTTGGCTAAACTTGAGGTTATGACATAGTTTTTCGGATGATTGTTGTCATTAACTGCCTGTCAGATCGGTTGCTAGAATCCTTATTTCCATCTTGTTGCGGAAACTGTTGCTGATTCTTGAGTACCGAAAATTTATGTATGAGCCATTCCTTTTGCTGTCTCCTACGCTATTTTGTGCGAGAGAAATCTTCGACTGTATAGCACAGGCTGCACGGTTTGAGGTATTTTATAATTTTGATACGATTCGTTCTCTTTCCTAAGTTAGAAACATTTAAAGTGAACACGGAATCTGTGTCTTGATATAATTTAACACTAGTAACTCAGAGACATTTCGTTCGCTAAATAGAAGAAGAGGAATAAACCTTGGTTCGTTAGCTCTAAATTCAAGACCAAATACTGTCGATTTGGTCATTACGCCCTGCATACTTTTTAAGTTTCATCTTTAAATGACCTCACACTTGTTCTATATCTATAGTCTCTATTGATATTCTTTGTTATTCTCATTGTTTCCACATTATTTTCGATTTCAGTGTTACTTTTTAATTCGAAAATGGTTATAAGCCATCGATGAGAAACCATGAGATAAAATGAATTTATATTATCCTGCCTAAACTGCTATTTGAGCTCTATCCAGATTTGTGAGAGAAGCCATCTGTGTTAAATAATCACTAAAGTTAATTCTTGATTCCCATTTTCAAAAAACCGGGCATTGTACATCCTGACATAACTCACTTGTTTTTGTTGATTAGGTGATTGTCAGTCAAATATAAAATTTTAATAATAAACGGGATAGTTAACATAGATATATGTACGACTAGAGAGTCGGTGTTTTATCATCTAAAAGTTTTGAGTTATATCTTGACTGTGCATTTATTTAAGTTGATTACTGTAATCAACTAAATCTATGAATCTTCTTCAGCCATTCAGTTAGTTTGTAATGCTATTCTTGATGTGTTTACTGTTTATTATGGTTCTTTGGTGATAGTAAATTTTGTAAGCCATTTAATTTGCGATTCATTAACAGTAAGTTCACCAGATACCCGTGATCAGCTTTGAAAAATATGATACAATTCATTCTTCACCGCTTACAAATTTAAGATAGGAAGAATTGTATCATGAAAAAACATTAGCTTCATTAAACTTATATGTGGCTGTACACTTAATATTGATAAAGTGTCTGGTTTGAAATAGTCTTTCTCTGTTCCCTGTAAATTTTGACTTGGGCGGAGAATTATTTCAGGTAGTATAGTAACCGCTGATAAATTCATCGAAGCTAGCTAATCACTGAAAAGAAATAATTGAGGTTTTAGTAATTAGCAGCCCGGAGCTATTACAGACTTTATGTCTTCCAAACTTTCCTACTTTGTTACATCGGGGATTTCAAAGATGACACGAGTTTCAACGAAAAATACGGTATACTAGTTAATGAATGACATGTGGTAGTGAAAGTAAAATATGAGTACTTATGTAACATATATGGGATTGAAATAATTGCATTGTCGTATCTTTTTGAGGCTTCTTAAGATTGATGATTTTATTTATTAAATTAGTATAATAGGCGGTATTCATTCACAAGGAAATCATAGGTCTTTGGTAATCTGCAAAGTAGGAAAAAGTAACTGACTAAGCAGTTTTTCAGATCCGGGAAGATTTAAAACAGCAATTAAACGATAAGGAATCTGAATATGCAGTCGATCACCAAAGTAGAGTTTGGAAGCTTGAGTTGGAAGTTACATAGTAACGTTTCTGATTTTGTCACTTAGAGTAGGAGGAATGTGCACGTAGGCGGTAAGCAACGTTCAGTCACACTTGCTCGTACAAACGGGACAATAATAAAAGACAATGGTACAAGTAAGTTATTGCTATACTAATGGCTCTATCTGTTAAATAGTTTAATACAAGCGCTTAACCAAACTCAAATGTATGTGAGGTACCACCATTTCATCAACCTTTTGATTGGAGTTGACGATTGGTGAAGTGATGCTTTATTCCCAAACCAAAATCACTAATGGAATATCCCAAAATGAATGGATTTTCGGGCAACAAAATCAGTGCTAAATCGTAACTCAGGTTTTTCTTTTCCACTAGCTAGTTATTTCTGTATTATGTTGTACTAATTTTTGAAATGTAATAAATAATTTTGATTTTGATCAATTTGAAGATGCTATGAACTACCTACCTTGGTTGTAGTATGTTATTACTGAGTATTTACATTACCCTGTAAAATTTCATGTATTTATCATTGGAATGACAGCTCCTTCGTAATCTTGGTAGAGACTTGCAATTTTTATATATTTTTTGAGCAATTATTCAAATGTAGTTGTTTACATTTCGAGTATTGATCATCTCGATTCCCATTGTTGAGGTCATTGTGAATTCAAAAACAGCTATTATCTGTTATTTAGATTATCATATGCTTGTTCATTATTTGTAGATGGTTATTTCAGGAGAAATTCCTTCTTAGGTTGTTCATTATTAGTGAATACATTTTTATACATATCTCACAAGCTGCCGTTTGCGAATATTTTCCATTTATTTTATTTGCTTGATAATTTCTTTGTTTAGATTTTGAATTTAACGAGTTAGTAAGTCTTTCTGTTAGTAGCTTCAATGAACTTCGATGTGACTCAAATTTACACAATTAAAAGTGTTGTTTTTAAATTCGTTCATGATTATATAAATTTTATGTCATGTGTAACACTGTTCAGGAAGATGTTGGTTTGATTTTTATTTCATTTTCTTTAATATCATCGATAATATCAGTTTCTAATTAGTTGTGAGCGCTTGTAGTTGTATGCTCACTCTTGAAGATTAAATGTCATAAAAAAGCTACTTCGTATTAGTAGGTCAGTTTAGGGAAAGTATATCTGAAATTTTTCTTGAAGTAAACTTGTAAACTCATTTTATCATTTACGTTAAATGTTTATATTGGCAACCATATGAAGCAGCAAACAAACACAATTTCATGTTCTGTCATTAGTTTAAAATTTTTATTCTTATTCGGTTTCTATTTATTTTGGTAATAAAGTCACAAATAAAGTATCTATGGAAAATTTTCTTTTATTAAATAGTAAAAAGTTAAAGTTACTGACGTAATATTTGATTACAGAGAAAGAATAAAAATATAAACGATATTTTTACTCAGTAGACATGGCTAATTTTAGTAGATTTTATTTTGAACTTGTCCAACCAATCTCAATATAGTGAACTAGTTTAATAGTAAATAGGCATAAAATAGTTTCGTTACGTTTAAACAACAGAAACTAATTTTTTTTCGTTTTTACAATCTTGTGAGTATATGCAAGCACTTTATCATATGGTTATAATGAAGATATGACTTATTAAATATCAATGAATAACACAATGTATCAATGACCTATTTCAATTTGGATACAATTTTAATTTGACTAAAAAAAAAGGAAAGAAAGAGATTAAAAACGCAAACTTTCTGCTTACAATATTAATCATTTCACATACACCACATTAAATTTAAAAACAATTTGGTCAAGGACACATTGGGAATTGAATTTTATAAAGAAAAAGAAATCAATTCAACTTGAAAAAGTCGATTTGATTCGTTATACAATAGTCCTTAAGTATTATACTTACGATTGGATCACTTGAAAAATATACTTAGAGAGACTATTTGTGCAAATTATATCAAATATTTAATCGATTCCCCACTGTAGCTCTACTGTGACAAATCTCTTAATAACTGGGAATTTTCGTTCGATCAAGAGATATTTTTAAATTCATTGCAATAATTTGGTCAAGTTACTACCAGACAGATTTCGGTTAATGATGATTATCAAGAAAACCATAGGAAAATATAGTTCATATTAGTTACGTGTTTTCTTCGAGAAATCTTATCATTTAATAATAATGAACCAGTTCCAAAAGTTTTATTTACTTTTAACGTTATAACCTGACAAAATTTAATAAGTCAGAGAAAGTTCATCATCATCAAATGAAATGGAAGTTATCATTGCAAGGTCATAGTGAGTCATTAGCATTCTTGTTGATTAGATTAGGTATATGAGTGTTCTAGAATCAAGAAACCAGTCATAAATATTGATTACATAACCTTCCAATAATGTAAATCTATTTTTGCTAACTTGACAGTAAGACAGAGACATCTCAGGCGAGGGATTTGGAAGAAATGGATTATACGATTAAACTACCATAGTAAGTGACGATCTACGGCTTTTATGCAATCAGTTTTTGGGACAAGTGAATAATCTTTTTCTAATTACTAATTTCATCAAGCGCTTTTGAGATATTTGCAAGGTTTTTACAATCAGTGTAATCAATCTGCAGTTGATTTTAGGTACAAAGTAGTGATTTTAATTTGAGTTCAACAAATGTCATCAAAATCAAAATCGAATTCTATTTTCATGTTCTTTTAGTTAGTGAGGTTTATGAAGTTATTAATGAATGGGATACTGTGATTTTCATGTCTCTTGTTATGACAAGTAGTTGGTCTTATTTAAGATGACGAATTTCCCGACTTTTTTTAAGTTTAGTATCCAGTATGCAGGTATTACTTTTGTAGACTACTTTTGAATTGGTATTATGGTGAATTCCAAGGTCTAAACATTAATTGAATTTTATCAACCATATTGGAATGCGTCCATTAGTTCATGGTACTGGTACGCCTGCACGTAAACACGTCAACTTGATATACTTGAACTATTACGAGTATACCTTAGTCGGAATACGAGAGTGAGGATCGAGGATCCGGTGACACGACATGCTACTCTAATCCGATTATCCCAACCCCCATATTGAGTGAAAATAAGAAGAACCTGTATTCTACAAGCATCCAAAAAGTAGGAGGTCCGAATCCAGAAGAGAATCAGGATCCCGGACTAGGGATCCGGAACCGGGACCTGGTCGTGGTCATAAAACGTTACAGATAATGCGTTTATATACATTTTGGTCGAATAGGAAACAGCATCGAAGTCTATGACATTGACAGTTAAGACGACCAGTAGGAAGCAACATTTGAAGTGACATTGATAGTCAGGACAACCAATTAGAAACAACACTGATGTCTAGGACGACCATAAAATTGACCAGTAGGAATTGACCAATAGGAATGAAACAATAATTCTCCTAGGATATTGGATGAATATCCTAACAGTTACTCGGACTCACCAGTTCGAACTATGGAGTTTAATTGATTGGAGACAGATTGAAGAAAGGAGGCCGTGAACCTAGATAGTCGTAAATATAGCCCGGTTACAATCTCAACAGAGTTGATATGTCCTATAGCAAATGAACCTACATCACACATTGTCACAGTCAACGATATTACTGCTGAGATATTTGATGGGATACTTACACTGAGTGATCACATGTTATCGATGAATATCATGTTTGCCTAGTACTTACAACTTCAGGGGTCCCATGGAACGAACTGTCATGTTTTCAGGAAAAAGACTGAGGAAAACTGTTGAATTAAGTTTCGATTTACTTGATTCATCCCTATTGTAAATTATACATCTTTTGTGTAAATCAACTATCAACAATTAACATGAGAATTCTTTCAAAGTGTAATAATTTATTGAATAGTCAAGCAATTGTTAAATGTATATTCATGGTTGAAAAAAAACCCATCAAATGCATACGTATATTTACTAAATTTTGTAATATACTTGTGATTACTATTTATCTTTTCCTATATACAATGGTCTAGAAATTGTTTCGTTGTAAATAGTTTTCAAATGATAATAGTTCAACTCTGAATTCGATCTGTATGTATATGTATTTATGTTTCAAGGTATTGATCTGTTAAAAAAATTCCAATGTCACATTTCATATGAATCGTTAAGTGAATATATAAATATATATTTGTATATATATGTATATTGAAGAAATTAAATCCTACTCATAGGATAAATTGATCTATCTGTAGTATCTGTTGTTTCTTTACGTTTCAATATACCAATTCTTAATGCAAACCATTTCATTTTATCAACAACCTCTTCTTGCATTAATTTGAAACACATTGCAAATACTGATAGACCAATAGCAACATATAAACAAATGATAATCATTTTTTCTTTTGGATTAGTTGAATCAATTTTGGTACCTGTAAGAGAAAAAATTTTTTAACACAAAATGTAAAGAAACAAACAAACGATTGAACGAAAAAAAAAATAATGAGGATTTGAAAAGTAGTAGCATTTAGAAAAACAATGATAAAGTTCATCTGTGGTTAGTTATTGTTATTTATTCAGTTAAATTTTTTCGCAAATTCCACTGATGATTTATTTATCTCTCAAGCATCAATTCATAAATTACATTTTTCAATCTTCAGAATCAATATTTCTAGTCATTTAGTAAGCATATCAGTTGATTGATATCTTCTTTAAAACTGTTCGTTCCTACGAATTCATTATATGTTAATATTTAAAGAATACAGTAATTTTAATGAGATAACTAGATTGTATGTAGAATAATCCATAAATGAGATTAATTTGAAAATTTTAATGTTCATTTGCATGAATCAATTGGAGTGACACAGTGTGGCAATAAAGACATTATACGTTAACAAACTTTGAAGTTACTAATGCTGTCAAACATGAGTATGATAATACAACATTAATATTATATATATATATAAATATATAAATATATATATATATATATATATATATATATATATATATATATAAATGAAGAACAGTCAAATTTGAATTCCCTTTAAATTATTAAATATAAAATTGATGTTACAAAATATCGCTTAGATGGCAGTACCGACAGAAGACAATCAATTCAGTTTCATATTTTATTCAGCCTAGGTAAAAAGAAATATAAATTCATTTTATGTCTAAAACATTTAACTAGACTTCAAGGTTGAATGATAAAATTTCTGCCTATTCATGAATGAATAGTTATGATTATCTACCAGTAGTAATTAAACGATAGATTGACACACAATTTAAGCATCATTTTCTTTTTGGGTTCAGTTAATGAATATGTCTCATTTATAAATATAAATTTATATTAGTATATATGAGCTCAACCAAAAATGTTATGCTGCAATACCTATGGTTTTATGCTACAGAAACACAAACTAGGTGACATCATTGATTAATAATAGACTGAAACAAAGTTAAAATGACTCAACAATAGTCTGACGTTAAAGTACTGTCCAAGGACACAATAATCAAAATGTTGAATTGATACAACTGAGTTAATTATTGTTAAAATGAACTATGACAGTTAAATGTAGTTTGTATGTGAAATGTATTTCAGTGTATAAACAGATTTCTAAACAGATTTTTATGATAGTTAGTTAGCATTTGTTTTATTCAAGTGGGGCTGTTAATTGACATTTCTAAAAATTTTAGGATCGTTCAGTTGGTATGAGCGACCATGGAAAAAAAATCTACCAACTATCTTTTTTCCTGTTTAGAAGATAAAATTTTAGTGATTTGTATGGCAAGACGAAAGTCACCGATGGTTAGAGACCTTGATCGACATGGCTCAGAATCGTTTGCAGTGACGCAGATGTATCCACTCTTTGTGTTCCCTCTAATTCTAACCTTCTGAATTCCTTGTCATCTCTATCTTTCTCCTACTCAATTTATCTCACTGAATTATACTTCTTGAATCATATCTTCGCTCCCGAATCTTCTGAATTACTGCTTATACTTCTATAATCGCTATCACTCTGACAGTTGCGTCTCTGTGCTGATGTGGTATGGCAACCTGAACTGATGTACTTACGTACGAATTTCTGCGTTGTATCTGTCTGTCCGTCTATCGGAGTAAGATATATGTCTCTTAGATATTCTGCTCATACTGTATGTTTTATAGACAAAATCAATGTTTAGAACTTATATAAAAAAACCAATAATAATAAGAACGATGATTGTCGAGTAAATTATTTGCTCAGTATTTAATCCAAAGAATAACTAGTTCACATATATTCAACATAAAGAAAATATGGAAATAATTCGCTGGATTGTACTGTCATATAAGGTTTCTGGTGAGATTTTAACAGTCATAGTAACATAAACTAACTCTAATGGATAATAATTTTACAAAATGAATGTTACACACTGACACTGAAAGAGGAAATCGATCACAAAGATTAATAATTACAATGTAACATTTCATCTTTGACGATAAAAGGAATACTGATATTATTGATTTCATCATTCTAGATAATTTAAAACTGATCAATATCATAGTGTTTTAAAAATAGAAGAAGATAACAGCTTTTTTTTTGAGTACTAAAAGTCACGAAACATGAGGAAGTTCACTGTGACAGAAAAGCACTGATTTTCTAGTTCAAGAATTAGATCATTAGGGAAAAGTTGAAATGTATTCTTACAATTACAAATTAATTCATTTGACAGTTCGGTAAAAAATTGTTTTTTTTTTGTATATTCAGATAATCATAGGCTCTAGATTATCAACTAGAGTGGTGCTACAGGAGAGAAACGTAGTGTATTTAGGTCCCAGTGGGAACTTCAGAGTAAATACAAGTATACCAAGGAGAAAAGTCCCAAGAAGGATGAGATGTGCTTCTTAGATACCACCCCTAGCCAATATGCTACTCAAATGATAATGATCGTGATTTAGTAGCACAATGTTAAAAGAAACTCACCAATGATACTCTTCAACATCAACAATAGGAAGATTTAAACAACTCTTGAAGATGACTGAAGATGTCGTGTAAGCAGTCAGTGTACTATTGTTACTACTAATATCAGTTTGTCACTTCTGATCAAGCGACTGTCATCGAAATTACCCTTTAAAATCATACACGTCATTAAATATTTTGATTCAAACTGAATAAGAATAAAAAATTATACACGGATAAGGGTTTAACGGCTCAATTATGTAAACTTGAACTCAATATTCAAAGAAGGTGTGTACAAAATCTCACCCTCGTATGATATACTTTTGAATGTTAAAGAGGTAGAAATGTGCACTTTTATTTGGCACTTAAATTTCATTTATGTCATACAGTATGTATTGGTTAGATTGAAGTTGTTTTTATTCGTCAACTAATTTTGTAAGAAGAGACTACAAATATTGAACTTTGATTTCTGCTTCAATACCGAAATGGTACAGAAAATACTCAAGTTCATTGAATGCAAATACAAGAAATTAAATAGTCAAAATGAAACCAGCGAAAAATAACTAACAAACATCAATTAATGGTATTTAAATATACATTACCTTTTTCATAAGGAAGCTTAAATAGGGACTTTATATAGTTGAAAGATAATTTCCATCACAAAATTACTGCAGGTATAAACCATGAGGCTTTGGATTCATTTAGACAAAGAAAAACACGATATCCGGATTTGACAAAATAAACGATATTGAAATTCAATGTCATTTATATTACTACTCATTGTGGTGGAAGTATGAGTAACAATGATAAGGTTTAAATATTTGAAAAAGATTAAATGCCACTTAGCTTGTATTTTATATATATTTTGAAAATGATTAAGTTGTTTCAAAAAATTTTGATTACTATGGACAGCTCTTTCATCAAAATAACAGCAAATGATAAATTAATCATTGTTCAAATGACATCTCAAGGTTAAATTATTTATTTTTGTCTATAGTGAAACTCATAAATTATCTGTAAAATGTATTTCTATTTCTCAAGAGAATTTACAGCATCAACGTTCATACATATATTAGTTGTAACTTAAAGTAGACTTGTATAAAGGTTCATTGGTTAAGGTTGAATTGTAACCAAAGTTTTTATTCTCATCCAGTTGATTTTACATTTTATTACCTCTGACTGCGACGTGACAAAAATTGATTTTTGCTTAACGTAACGTAAAGCAACGACTAATACGTCATTCTAATTAATCTTTTAAGTTAATAGCCGTAGTGATTCAAGTATTTCGAACAGCTGAACTATTAGGTGTGTGAATTAGAACAGAAAACTCCATTACACATAAATTAAAATCAAAAATTATCCATGCATACAATATATAGTAAAATTACTGAAATATGAATCAGTCATTGTTAGACCACCATTAGAAACCTAGAAGCAGTGATCGTCCGTTTTATCTTGGTATAACAATCCATCAGGGTTAGATATTAACACATTGATTGATTGATTTATTGATTCACATTTCAGTAATAAACAACAATCTCCATAACTTTATAATGAAAAAATATAGTAAAATGATAGGAAATATAAAACTGAAATGATTGTAGCTAGACATAAAGATTATGAACTAGTTAAATAATAGTGACTGAGTTTCGTTCTCTGAGCTGGCTGTTTTCGTTGTGGAGCTTTCATTATTCTTCTGAACAATATTATCAGCACAAACTTCAGACACAAGTGAAGTATTTGAATTTCGTCGCGTATGAATCGTAGCTTGTCTTGTTGACCTCAGTCATGATTAGTTGTTATTGACCTTAAACCTGTTGTAGTTTGCACCTTTATTTTGACTGTATCCCCCTTTGATCTGTTTCTTGATCCTATGTTTGTTTATGATTTTTCTGAATGGTTGGTAAATTGAATTTATGGCGATGTGTTTGTTGACTGCCGATTAACTTGAGTGCCAAGCTTCTAAAAATTCTCCAAATTTATTTGTGCATGTTCCAATCGAATGTATGTCCATTGCTATCCGTATGCATTGAAATAAGGGAAGAAATATCACCACATGGAGAAATGCTAATACTTCACTTCTTTATGACGTTTGTGAAGATGATGTTGTTCAGAAGAACAATGAAAGTTCCACAACCAAAACAGCCAACTCAGAGAACGAAAGTCCTCCACAGTCCTTCTCCACCACTGTATGTTTTAACACATCAATCTTGTCTATGAATTACATGATCTACTCGAGGTGTATATAAAGTTTACAAGCTATCGTTTGAAGAGGTATGAAAAATACAGTCCGAGACATAACGGTTTCTGGCAATTTACTGAAAAAAGATTGAACATTAATAAAATGCCAATTTTTGAACTCCTTACTTTCGACTGCCAATCACTAACTGTTTTGCAAAGGAAACTTGGCGAAATATTTTGTACTGAGAAGTCAATATTGTACTAAACATATAATATTGAATAAAGCCATTGCTAATTGTGTTATATACTAGATA